GCCATTTGGAAGAGTCATTGGTCTTTTCTTTCTGTCCCCTCAGAGGCTGGGCACCATTTGTTTTTAGTTCAGAGTTTTAAATTGCTTTAGCAGTTTTTAATTTGGTTCTTCTTGTTGTTATACCATACTTATCACTATTTTAATGACTGTGTTGTTATTGTATAATTAGTTAGAGATACTGTATTAGATTTATATTGGAAGCCATCTTGATTTGAATGTTTTGAAATGTTGCTTAAAATATACATGATTAGACCCTTGCTAAAAACAAATGATGTTTGCTACTGAACATCTACGTACCCTCAAGGTGGAAGATGATTGTTTACCTGGAAAACTCAGGTAACCTCAGGGAATGGTGGTTTTTCCCTCTTCTTTTTTTAGAAGAAACTCCCTTTGGAGGAGTTAAGAGAAAGCCTTTGGCATGATACTAATATTCCCACTTCAGATCATCAAGAAGAAAGACTTAATCGAAGTATTTCCACAGGGAATGGAGATTGCCTAATTTCAAGGAACACTGTGGTCACCTTACTCAAGATTCCCATACAGGCTGATCTATGGATTTGTCCAAACAGATGTAGCAGGGAAATGTACATGGCTTCATTCAGGTAAGTTTGATGTCTCTGGGAATAATTTAGGGAGATACCCCTAAGCTAAACAACAACACTGGGCACCCTCCTTTGTTGTTGCTTGTACTTAAGTGATGTGTTTTCAAGGATTGCTTGAATGGCAGAGTGGAACATCCAGCTTCAGGCAGCCAATTTGGGACTCTCATTAAAAGGAAATAAATCCTTGTGCTTCTTTCTTTTTCTCACTCTTGGTGGGGAATCCTGTTTGGATTTTCTACCTGAGTTGTGCTTGGTTTTTCTCATGAAATTTGGAGAGGGAAGCTCTATTTGAATCATAAACTTTGGGGACAATCAAAGACAACAACTAAAGCAATATTGGAATAAATGTAGTTTTATGAAGTTTCCTGCACAAAGAGTTGTGCCTGAAAGTGAAATCGAGTTATAGCCCCAGTGCTCTGGAAAGATAGAGAATTGTATGACCAAGAGAAACTTCAGATGCTACAGGAACTGTTCAGATAATCTTTATTTCTGGAGAAGGATTTCAAGGGTCCAGAAAGACAAGAAGCTTTTCAACAAATTTCATCATTGTATCAGATAATTTGGAGATCAGGATATTTCAGAGATTAGAAGAGAGAGATTTAGGCATGGGGTGGCTTATGCTAATTACTGGATTTGAATGCATTAAACATTTAAGATGTAAAATGTTGAATGCTGAAGGTATCATGGAACAAAGTAGCAAATTTCAGCTGCATAGTATCTGACTAGAGTGCAGGTGATAAATATGACATCTGATATTTCTCTGGTTCTGTGAAATTCACTGATTCTGTCTTTCCCAACTTGGTGCTTACTCTGTGAATCAGGATCAGACAGCCCAAGGCTTCACTGTCTACTGTTTTGAAGTACTGTAATTTTCTTGATTGTTTTGAGGGCAGAACAAGTTCATTCGCTGTCCTTGCATCTTTGGTACCAGGCATTCTCTTTCAAAGCGGTCCTATACCCACCTATTTGGAACGAATTCCCATCAGATTCAATATGGGGCTTACAGTATGCCTATGAAAGTGCATAAGATTTTAAACTAAACCCCTCCATGGGCCCCTATCCATTCCTTGACAAAAGCAGGCTCAAAACGTCAGCAGGGTATCGGCCGAATTGGCATTAATGTCAACAACAAAAATAAAGGGACAAAATTTAGTTCATGCACAGTTTTCCTCCTTACCTTTTATTGGCTCCAACTTTAATGCACCACTAAGTGATATAAAAGAAAGAAGATAAAAATACAGCAAACAAGAACAAAAGAAAACAATCCAGGGAATTGTTCAGATATCTGAATACACTTGGGGTGCGGTTGAACCAGACTAAGAATGCTTGGTTGAAGTATTTGATTCTTCAAAAACAGGAAAGTAACAGTGCAACAACAGAACATTAAGTGAATGAAACTGTTGCTTATGAAATAGAGCTGAAATTGTATATAAAGCTTAGCTGATATATGAAGGCCCAAATGCCATTTATAATAGTGATATTGGCAATGAACTGGAAGATGTTTGATGACAGAACACCGATGGTAAGTTTGGTTCTACTGAATCTAATCTTAATGTTGCCAAAGCAGATTAAGGGGAAGAGAGTCATGAGCCAAAAAGCAAGGCTGAGAATAGGTGCTGGGAGCATCTTCACATACTAATTCAATACCAGCTGTCAGTTTTGTAAGTGCAAGCTCCTCAGATGAGCTAATTATGTATATATGGCAGACACCTTCTCCGAATGCAGAACATGGATGGGATGACCTTCATCCTTCCAATTTGAGATTTTATTTGTCCACTACTGGCAAGTAGGAGACTGCCAGGGTACCCAAATGTTACAATTACTGCAGTGATTCAGGTTCACACCCTGCTGCTCAGTTATGGAATTCATTGACTTATACTTAATTTTGTCACATTTGCATAGCCTGTCATACCTAACAAGGTTGTAGTAAAAATGAATGGGGAGAAACCAGGTGTGCTGTCTTGAGCTGATTAGAAAGAATTAAACTCAACAGATAATTTAAATAAATAAGAATTTCCAGTTAATACAATGATCAGTGCATTTTCATTTATGCAAATACCAACATTATCAAAATGCATTTTAAGGTCATAGGAATCTAGACATAAATTACTAGTAAAAATTTTTAGGGAGATTTGCTTATCTGCTTAAGAATGTACACAATATATACATCAGTTCCTTGCCAATTATGGGGAAATGTTCCTTCTGGTGGTCACTTGCAATAGTTCATGGTATTCCATTATTTTGCAAGATTAAAAAAAATTGGACTAGTTTAGAGGCATTTTTGGCTCTGCTCCCAGGGGCTAAAGCTAAAGTTATAAGGCTGACAAGTGCACTTTTTTTCTCCTCTTCAACAATTAGAATTTTTTTATTCTTCCAGAATACAGTCCATTCTTGACTTGCCTTGTGACATGCTGATACAAGTGTTCTTGATATCAAAGGGTTATACATAATTTTTCACTTTTTTTTTTTTTAACAGACTGAGAATACATCCATTTTTATAAAATTTATATGTGCAAATCTGGGCCTTTGGACAAGACCAGGTATTTATCCATGCCCCTTTCCTCATTAGGAGCAGGAGGGCCTCCCAAATCCAGTGTTCCCCAAACTCATGACAGTGGCCTTATTTTCCCTGGAGCCCAAACTCTAAATAGTTTTCTGCCTCCCTCCCAGCCATGAAGCCCACCCCTCGCCTGTAGTCTTATAGCAAGAGAGCCTCTAGGCTTCATTGCTTCTTTTGCCGTTGTGGAAGTGATCAAGGGACCTTCTTCTCCATCTCAGTCCAATAAAACGTACTGGGAAGATTTTGTATGACCTAATTTGGGATGCTATCTATGGGTCATTGCAATCCCTCACCTTTTCCTTTCTTTCTTCCTGTGTGGGCCCTACAAAAATAAGCTTTTAAAATATCGGGATGGTTTACGGTACTGATTGATAAGTGGCTTTTTAGCACACAAGATGGAATGCAGTGATGTGTCTCTGAAGCCCAGCAATGGGGGAAGCCCTCTGGCTTAGGGTGCAGAACATGGACTTTGTATTCCCTTGAGGCAAAGCTGCTGCCCTCATCTCCCCGCCCTTGATCGATTCTCTCCTTTCTCCACCTGCTCAGGATCGCTCATCTGTTTCGGCCCCTTGCGCTCTTCCCACGGGCAGGGCTAGAACTGCTTCACTAAGGGAAGCCCTTCCTCAGCAGAGTTGGGGACCAGGCACGGAGGCAGAGGTCCCATCACGTCCTCAGCACAGTCCCCTCCCTGCCCCTCTCCAGCTGCTTTCTTGTCTACACTCTGAGCCATTTAACTCTTTCTGCAAACATGCAGAATTTCAGTCCTCCACCCACTCATCTACTGTAGCATTTCTTTATATGAGAATCAATGCCTCTGCTTGCAACAAAACTTAGAACATTAACTCAGGCAAGGTGGAAAGTTGACCTGAAGAGAGTATAAACAGTCCTAGGTACTATAGTGCATACATGTCTCTATGCTGCACAAAACCATTTCTGAATGTAATAGGGCCTTCTTAACAAGGTTCCTCTCTTCTGGACTTGGGGCCATTAATTTCCCAAGCATCACCTTTTTTATTATTTTCCCAGAAGTTGAGTAGATGGAGGGATTGTTGGCAGGAGAGCTTTCCTGGGGAATCAGGGAGAGGTTTGTCAAAGACCTGAGCTGACTGACAATAATTTAGTATCATTCTTCCACTTGACCCAACTTTTAAACAAGGGGGTTGGCTAGGAAGAAAATTGTCTCCCCCTGACCCTCGTCACTGATCCATAATTCTAGCAAGCTGCAATGATAAGTAGATGGGCAGATTAATCCAAAAGGAGCAGGGGAGGGGGAATCCATGTGGAATACATGCCTCCTTTGCCCTGCATCCCATTAGAAAAGGTAATGTGTCCTTCAAGTCTGGGTTGGCACTTGGGGTCTACATCAGCAAGTCCATGCAGTTTTCTTGACAAATACGTAGAAGTGGTTTATCTGTCCTAGCAGGTTTCTCGAACATTACAGTCCAGCCTTCTTCATGGTCTTTCATCCAGTTTCTCTTCAGCCCCAACTCTGTTAACAGTCCAAGTCCTGATAAGGCCTGTCAAGCACTCACATATGCTGAGACCACCTTCAGAAAGGATTAACTAAATACATGGAGTGTTCCTAAGCAATGAGGGCCTTAACTTGTCCTTTTCTTTTGTAAAAGCTGCATCCTGTAAATATTTATGGAATATTCAAAAAGCAGAAGCAAAAACATTTGGGGGCAAAATTGGCAAACTCATACCAAATGTGTCAGGGAAGGGGGGGGGGTGTTCAACACATCATTCAAAACGTTAGCATGGATTCTCTATTCCAGGGCTGAAAACTATAAAATCCTTATTTCTCTTTCCTCTGTAAACAGGTTATGCTTTTGAAATTTATGGAAGTGGAAGGCAATGGCACAATGGTTACTCACTTTATCTTGGTTGGGTTTACAACAGACCCATTTCTACGCATAATCTTCTTTGTGCTGTTCTTGCTCTCCTACACGCTAACACTGACTGGGAACCTGGGTCTCATGGCACTCATCTACCTAGACTCCCGCTTGCACACACCCATGTACTTCTTTGTGGGCAGCCTGTCCTTTCTGGATGTCTGGTACTCTTCAGTCTACACTCCTCGGATCTTGTCTGACTGTGTCTCCAAGAACAACCACATGTCCCTTGCTGGTTGTACAGCCCAGTTCTTCTTCTCTGCTGGCCTGGCCTACAGTGAATGCTTCCTACTGGCTTTCATGGCCTATGACCGCTTTGTGGCCATCTGCAACCCACTCCTTTACACCACTGCGATGTCCAAGAAGCTCTGTGTCCAGTTGGTGATAGGATCCTATGTAGCAGGCTTTGCAAATGCAGTTATACACACTGGTAACACCTTTCGTCTACGCTTCTGTGGAAACAATGTCATCGACCACTACTTTTGCGATGGACCACCACTTGTTAAAATGTCCTGTAATGATGTAGGCATCTATGAACTCATTGTGGCTGCTGTCTTGGGTTGCAATTTGCTGGTAACCACAGCTATCATCCTGAGCTCCTACACTGGTATTGTGGGAGCCATAGTCCGTATGCGTTCAGCTACAGGGAGACGCAAAGCCTTCTTCACTTGCTCGGCTCACTTGGTCTCAGTTACCCTCTTCTATGGTTCCATTCTCATCATGTACCTGACACCCTACTTTCATCACACTCCCAGTTGGGACAAGGCAAATGCGTTGTTCTATACAGTAGTCAACCCGCTGGTCAACCCTTTCATTTACAGCTTACGCAACAAAGATGTGAAGGCAGCCTTCAAGAAAGTCTGGGGGAGATTCCTAGCATGCAAATGAATGCCATTTACTTTCTTTCCCCAGACTGGATTTCAGATGAAAAATTAACCCCCTACCTGTAGTGTCAGCTTGCCTGCCTGCCTGCCTGCCTGCCTCCTTCCTTCCTTCCTTCCTTCCTTCCTTCCTTCCTTCCTTCCTT